ATTACTAAATTCAGTTCCAAAGATTCTCATACTCACCCTTCAGTAAAAACTTGAACTACCAACTGGCTTTTTTGCTCTTATAAACACTGAATTATCTTTTGAGAACCAGTGGTTTAAGAGCATGATCTCTGTCAACCAGGGCTTAATCATGATCACATTTTCCTTTTTTTTCTAGAGTCCAAATGCTAATGCACATTACTTTCCATGGTCACCAGGTTCTTGATAGGTTATCATAACTCCCAGCTGCTTTAAAGAATAAAGAAAGGCAGAAACCAACATACACTGATTCTAGCTATAAACATAACCTTCTAGAATGGTGACTGTTAAGATTGGGCTAGCTGATGGCCAAGGGACATTTTAACATGAAGACTCTAAAATGAAAAGTCTAGTTGACAAGTGGGATGTATTGTTTACATTTTAAATCTGCAAAAAGAAATATACTTCTATCTGGCTACAACAAAACAGCTTGGCAGATGATAAAAACAGCTTTTTGCCTCCCCTGACCTTACTTGTACACATCACACGCTTGTGTGAATACACTTGCAGCCCAGAATGCTCTCAGTGTCGATATATTACTTCAAAAAATTTTAGAGCACAGACCTAGAATATGCATGATTTTAGAGTCAGAAGGAAAAAAAAGCTAGTATTTGGCAAAAATATGACAAATAAAATAACTATGTCCTTATCACAGTAATGAGCAACTTAAAATAAATGTTGGCTTAAACCTCAAAGAAAAATACTGTCAAAAAATGCATTTGACCTTCCAGACAACAACTTTAAAATGTAAACAACTCTTGCTTATCTGTACTGACAAAGAGAAATCAATAGCACAGATAGTTTAACATGCTTGGTAATAAAAAACGTCGTACATTGGATTTTTTATTTTTAAAGACTAAGTCTTTACATCAGTTTTAAGTTCAAGCCAAACTGAGAGGCAGGTACAGAAACTTGCCTTCTATGGACTTGTCCCCACACATGCAGAGCTCCTCCCATTATCAGCATTCTCCCCAGAAAAAATTTGGTTTTGAAAGCAAGGATTTACCTAAACTGTTTCCTTACCATATGTCAAGCTTTGTGTTCTTTAGGCGTTGAGGGTCAGAGCTGGTAAAGACATAAACATGTAATTAAAATACAACATGGTAAGAGTGCTGAAAACCAGTCTGTACAATTCTAAAATGGCAGAATTTCTTAAGAAGTAAAGTACCCACACCTAAAGTACCCCCAAACTCAGCATCAGGGAGACAGAAGTTAAAAACAATCAGAGACAACAGGTAAAACATTAAACAAAGTTATCTAGTGGTGGTAAAGCTGTGGGGAAAAGAACATTTGGCCACACTGCTGATGAAAATGTGAATTGCTAAGGTCTTTGGGGAAAGTACTCTGGTAATATTTATTAATATAAATTACATGTATCTTTTTCTGTAGCAATATAATTTACTGAAATTTAAGTAAAAGCATGAGTAGGAAAAGATATTTGTATAAGATGCTATGGAACATGCAAGCAACTCATGAGTCCCTCAATGTATCAATGATAAAATAAACAGCAATACATCATATTATGGAAATACACACAGCTATTGAAATAATATGTTAGTTCTATATATTCTGATCTAAGTGATGTTCATGATTTATTGCTAAGAAACATAAGTGACAGGGAGGGTAAATAGAATAATTCCGTTATTTTCCAAAAATCTTAATTCTGTGCAATATGAATATACAAATTGTATAAGCATGGAAAAGCTATGGAATTTGTAGAAGCATAATTTCAGACTACTTATATTAAGTGAGACAAGAAGGTGGGGATACATGGGAAACATACCCCCCAGAAAAATCAAGGAGGGGGGATAGGGTGGGGAAGTATGTTCATGCTATAAAGTGAAGGGGAAATATCTTAGAACCTTTTCTGTAGTATTTCTCTCTCATTTTGCTTAATTTTAAATTCAAACATCACATCCTCAGAGAGATTCTTCTGGAACCTTCTATCTAGCTATTATGGTCTTTCACATGTTAGTCCTTGCTTTACAGTTTTTCATATTTCTCCTTGACATTATATTACATATTTATATATTTATTATCTGCCTTTTCCACTAAAATACAAACTCTATAAAGGTAGGGATGAAATTTTATGTTATTCATTATTGTATCTCCAGAACCTAAAATAGTCTCTGATACATAGAATCAGTAAATAAATATTTTCTAAATATGAACGAATTATATCCCATGCTTAAAAGCTAAAAATAAACATGGGGACGGACAACAAACTAAAATGGCAAATAAGGATATTGAAATGATTGAATGAGATAGAATTGACAGCAACTAAAAGATGACTTTAAATAAGCACTAAATTAATTTAGTTAAGCATATACTTTAGGATGTTGAAACTGGCAAGTCATCAAATGGGGTGGAAAGAAAGAAAGAGAGGAAAATCAGGTTGAATGAATAATAAAAAATGTGTATACCTCAGTAATGCCATGAGGAAAAACACAAATATGAAAACAGTTCTTCCGAATACTTATAAAGTTTATGTGTTGGGCACTGGCACATCTTTCATAAAATAGTTTTTTGCTTTAGTGTGTAAATCAATGTATAAGAAGTAAAATAATATTTAACTGTCAGATTTTGGTATTAACACATGGAGAGTAAAACAATAGGAAGTGATATTGAATAAGCAAGTATTCACAGATTCCTAGCAGAATGGGCATCTAGTGCCATCTAACCTGAAAATGCTTATGTGACACTAAAAAAAAATTTTGAAATTCAAAAAATGTCCATATATATATTTTAGGCACAGGTATCAGAACCAAACACTGGTCCTTTAAAGTTAGAATAGTTTTTAGATAAATAAGATGTTCTCAAATTTATAACTATGTAAAATAAAACAATTAGAATTAGTTTCTATAATCTTATAATACAGTATGTTAAAAAATAAAGCCCAATAATTATGCACATATTTTCTAGGTAATCCTCTTTTTATATTTAGGCTGTATAAAAGTAAATTAAATATATTTTTCACTAAGAATACTATTTTTACATATAATTGTATACATTCTAATTTTCAAATAAAACTGAGAGCATGCTGTTAAGGTTAAAGCACACATCATCCACAGAGACAAAGAACTGCAGGAACAATGAACACATTCCCAAGTCATTTAATTCATCTATAATCCACAGATATTTAAAAACTGTATTTAACATGAAATCTCTAAAGAGAAATCTTAAACAAAAGAAATATGTTTTTGTCCATTTTGTTTGAGGGGGAAAAAAAAACTTTAAAATGAGAATGGAATAATTTTCTTGAAAAGGCAACTTGTTTTCTATGATTATTTGGATATCCATTAAAAATTGTTTAAATATTTTAAAATTATGAATTGATATTCTCAAAACTGAATTGTAGCTTATCTGAAAGAACATGAAATTATTATTTCAGTCCCATAAGAAATAAATTTGTATTTTGTTCTATAATATGCATCTTCTATCTTGAAAAGCTCTTAGAAATATCTATACAATAAAGCCTTGTATAACATTAAGAACAACCTCATTTTTTCCTATTTAAATAAGTAACAAAAATGAACTGATTTTTAGGTACCTATTAGATTTTCTACAGATGACTAAACACATATTTAGATATCATATGTAGGCACATTTAGTTAAAATCAATTAAACTAAGAAGTCCTTCCCTTCTGGCTGTCTATATTTTTCTTTAATCCTGGACAGTGTAAACCCTTATTACCAGTAATTTGCGACTATAACACTGAGGAAAAATGCTAGCCTCACGATTTTTGTCATTTCTCCCCCCTCTTCCCCTGCAGGCTGCTACTGTTGATGGCCTTTATGGAAATATAAATTCAATCAGCAGCTGCAAATTTCATGAGACGTCCATCTTCATGCTGAATTTCTAACTGAGTGTCAAAACAATCTGTGGATTTCTCCCTGATGAAACACACATTGAATTGTAAATTTCTACAATTTCCTCATGTTTGAATTTCAGCTGCAGAAAAATAGTGCTAGCCCAGATACACTGCCTACCAGGTTGAAACAAGTAATTTTCTCTTCTTATCTTTTCATGCCATTTCAAGAGTTAAACTGTTTTAAAAGCTATGAAACAAAACTTCTCCCCCTCTCCAAATTGGACAATTAAATTTCTATACTGTTGTAAGAAAATGAGGCTATAAAAACCATTAACATATTTGATATGTTTTTAAAAGAATTTTTCTCCCAAATATTTACTTGTTTTGTATGGTCTTTATTTATTTAAACTGTATTTGGTGGTGAATAATGTGATGAATTTTGATAAAAATTAATATTTTCTATATATAATGTCAGTATAGTAATTAATGAAAAAAAGCCACAAAACAATAGTAACTCCTGTTTAATGAGGCACATTTTCATTAAATATTTTTCCATGAGGAAAAATATTAAAATGAAGAATTAAAACAGCTAGACTAGCCATTCTTCTTAATATATACTTATAACTAAGTTAGTTTTTCACCAAAGAATCATTTTCAACTGAAGAGCTAAATAGAACTGCTTTTAAATAACAGAACCTATGTTGTTTTACAGTAAATAAGCAAAAGGTTATGTTTTAAGAAGAAACTTATTGACTTGTATTCCAAAATAGCAATTTCTTGTTGTTATAAACATCATTCACTAATGTTACTAACAAAGTAATTCATAGCCCTATTTAAAAATTCAACAATATACTGCAGTAAGCAACCCTTTTGGATGGCCTATATAACAAGTAATGAAATAATTATTCATTCAACAAACATTTATTGACCATCTCCTGTGTGCCAGGTAATGATTACCAGGCCATGAGGATACAGAGATATGCAGAACACACTATTTCACTTTAGAGAAAGCAGTCTACTTGAGAGAGAAAAGAAAATAATTTGTTGAAATGAAATAAGGACTTTAAACTAGTACAAATTTAGGAAAGCACTGAAAAGAACAACTCTTTCAATGAGCAGCTATAAAGGCTTTCAAAAGGAGACATAGTGCACTTGCTTCAGCAGCACATACACTAAAATCGTAACCATCCAGAAAGATTTGCATGCCCCCCGCCCAATCAAGGATGACACACAAATTTGTGAAGCTTTCCATTAAAAAATAGAGCGTGCAATATAGCTCCTAAGTACATACTCAGCCAGGAAAGCACCAGAAGGGAGAAGCATTCTAGGCAGAGGAGAGAATACAATTAAACATGTGAAAGCATGGAATAGCATAGTGCCTGTGGAAAACTGTTAGTAACTGGAGCTGGAGAAGCAGGTTTATATGTGGTGTGACAGAATAGGTAGGCTGGAATATTTAAAAATTTATTGTAACATTAATTTTTTTAAGTAATCAAATATTTATTCAAATATTATCCAGAAGGCAATGGGGAAAATTTTTAAGCAGGAATATAAAAATAACGAGTGCTATCCCTCAAAAGGATATAAAAGTTATAGTATAATGATTAAAATCATAGACCCCTGGAGCCAGACTTGGTTCAAATCCAGCTCTGCCTTGTGCTACCTATATGATTGTAGGCAAGTTACTTTCTCTATGTCTCAATTAGCTCATTGATAATCCAGTGATAATGCTATATACTGCTGGGTCAGTATAAAAATTTAGCATCTTATTATTACTTCTATTGTTATTACTATTACTTTATAATTTGGTGTATAGGTTTATATAATTTGTCTATAGGTCTAACTCTAAAATGCAGGAGTCTTAAAATGAAAACTAATTAAAATCACCTGGAACACTGTGGCACAAATTAAACACTCAACTTCTTTTCACTAAGAAAACATTTACTGAATGTTTATTATGTACCAGACATATGTAAAAGTTAAAAAAATAGTTAAAAATAAAATACCAAAAGAAGTGAAAAGTTAAAGTAACCTTGAAATAGATTTTTAAAGTTAATAATACAGAGGAGAATCAACCAACATTCTTAAAATATTAAGATGTTAAGAGTTAATCCAATTTCATCAATGTTAAAAAAATTCAGAAAATAACTTATAACATGGTAGTCCACAATGATGTAAAAGGGGCTTTGCTTCCTGCTATAAACATACAGATATGGTGGATAAAATACTTTTAAACTAGAAACAGACATCAAAGTCAGAGCCCTAGGCTTAAGTGGAGACTTCCCTGGGTTTCAGAACCAACTCTAGGCCCTAAAGGCTGAAGGCTTGGAATGACAGCTTTAAATCCCTTGCCAGAAGAGAATATTCGCCTTCAGTTGGTCTCAGGTAGAGAGGAAGAACTGAGCATGTTCATAAAACTCACAATATCAAAGAGTTGTTGCTACTCATGAAAATATAACTAAACAACATCCACTGGCCCATGAACTCAGAAGCAGCAAAGAAGCCAGTTAGTTTAAGACCTTCAATTGGAAAGGAAAGGGGTAAGTTACCAGCAAGAAATCAAAACCTCTAGAAGTATTGTACGTATGTGAAGTTTTGAAATTTACACTACTACAATGTGTGAATATCATTAATATAAAAATAACATAAAATCTGAATAAACCACCAACAGGGGCCCTAAATACTACAAACAGAATACCCAATTACAATAAATAGAATATAGATTGTTCTCAACCTACAATGGCTCAACTGCTTTTCAACTTTATGATGGTGTGAAAGTGTACCCAAACCACCATTCTGTTTTTCACTTTCAGTGCATGTTCAAAAAAATTACATGAGATATCCAACAATTTATTACAAAACAGGCTTTGAATTAGGTGACTTTTGCCCAACTGTATGCTAGTGTTGAGTATTCTAGGCACATTTCATTAATCTGATGTTCACAGATTAGGTGAATTAAATTCAGTTTCAACTTAACAATATTTTCAATTTATAATGGATTTATGGGAATACTATTCCACTATAAGTAAAGGAGTATCTGCAATTTGAAAGTATCTAAAACAAGAATGTTTAGAATGATTTTTTTAAAGGTGAAAGAAAATATACAATAAAAAAGAACAAATATATTTTTTAAAGAACCAAATGGAAATTCAATAAATAATCACTGGATAAAGAATATGTTAAAGAAAGAAAATTGAGCATAGAAAGAAAAGTGGTATATAAGAATGAAGTATGAGAAAAGATATTGGCAAACATATTGGAAAATGAAATAAGCACAGAAAACTAGTAATGAAAGTAACAGTAAATCTTGGAACGTGTATTGATAATTGTATTAATCTGGATTGACAACAGTGCCCAGATATCTAGTTAAATAATATTCTGGATGTTTCTGTGACAGTTTTTTAAAAATGTATTTTATTAGTCCATTATGGTTATACATAATAGTGGAATTCATTTTGACATAACTGTACACAAATGAAAGATAATTTGCTCAGTACTTCCTCTTTTCCTCACTTCCCCCTCCCCCTGATTTTCTTCCTCTATTTACTGATCTTCCTCTTATCTATGTATTATATGTTTTTAAATTTATACATAAAGGTGGAATTCACTATGGTATATTCATATATGTATATAACATAATTTGGTCAATTCCATTCCACAATTTCTCCCTTTTCTGTTGATGTATTTTTAAAGATAAAATTAACATTTAAATCAATGGACTTTAAACCAGATTACCCTCCATGATATGGGTGGGCCTCTTCCAAACAGCTGAAGGTCATGATAGAACTGTCTGATAGACTTTTCTAGAACAAGAAGAACTTGTACCAACAGAATGCTCCACTGTGCGTTAGGAGCAGAACAACCTAGGCCCGCTGCGTGGTAGGAGCAGAGCAACCCCAACAGAATGCCTTTGGAACCCAATTCTTCCATGGGATTCTAACTTCCCAGCATACCCTGTCAATTTTGGACTCATTAAACCTCCACAAACATGTATGCCAATTCCTTAAAGTAAATCTCACTCTCACTCATTGGTTCTGTTTCTCTGGAAAATCCTACTATAGAAGGTATTCAAAAAGAAACAGAAACTAAAATACTAGATAGTACAAGAATGTGCAAATGAAGATGAGAGTAAAAGGTAAAGTTTTAAGATTTTGATTTTATTTGTGTGGAAGTTCAACAGAGAAATTAACTTTATGCTCTGTTAATTCAAACATGCATGTTAAAATATATAATAGTAAAGCTGAGGAAGAGAGAATAATAAAAAGTTCATCAATCAAAGAGAAGGCTGGCGAAGATAAAAGACAATAAATATATGATTAAGAGAAAATGTGAACTCAAGTGATAGAACCACATCTAAATGTGTCAAAATTATAATAATAAATGATTGCAATCACCTGGTAAAAAACAAAAAAAATCTATTTTATAATATCCACTTATTCTCTGTTTTGAAGAGTTTAGCTAAAATATTATAGCACATAAATGAAATAAAGAAGAAAAAATATACCAGATCAATGTTGGTCAGAATAGAGCTGGTATAACAGTATTAATAAAGAAAAATGGATTAATAGATTTTAATAAGGCTATTACTTAACAATAAAAGGAAATATCTATTGCAGTAAAAATAATCCTGAAGCTATACATACTAACACACTCTCAAAATACACAAAGCAAAAATTGATATAATTATACACAGAAATGTACTAAGACTGAACTGAATTGAAAAATCTTAATATGCCTCTCTCACAATCTACTAAAGAAACAAAGTCAAGATTTGGAAGGTTTGGAAAGTTCAGATAAAAAGTCTGATTTTGTAAATATAATCTTGAAGAGAATTGCACGTCTGCAATAGATTGTTTTAAAGTACATATGGAATCCTAGTAAAAATTAACTATAGGCTACAGAGGCAGTCTCAACAAATACCAAAAAGCATACATTGCATTAACATACATTTTTTTTGTTGTTGTTGTTATATTTTACCCATCACTACTGGGTATTATATAGCAGGGGGTATTTTCAAGTTTAGTCTGACTTATTGTTGGAAAAAGCAGTCTTCCTAAGAGACTAGAAAGTTTACCATAATTTGTTACTTATTGACATATATTAAATTTTTAAAGAATATTTTTTTGCTCAAAATGATGGTGCATACCCATAATCCAGCAATCCCAGAAGTTGTGGCAGGAAGTACGAAAGTTAGGGGTCAGACTCAAAAACTTAGCAAGGCCCTAAACAACTCTGCGAGACATGATCTCAATAAATAAATACTCATTGATACTCCACTTGTGAAGAAAAGAGTTGTATTTAATATTAGTTCTCTAGGAAAGAGGTAGAGGCAGAAAATAAGAGTAAGATTGAATAAATAAGGTAGGAAAAAGGGGAAAGGAGAGAAAAAAGAAAATAGAAGCTAACACTTAACAAAGCACTTATTATATCCTAGACATGGTTTAAAACACTAACATATTTACTTACCTAATCTCTAGAATAACACAATAATGCTAGGTACTGTTATTCTATTATACAGATAATGAAACAAGTGATAGAATAAATCACAATCATTCCAGTTTTCTTTGTGGGATAAGATACTCAGTGGACTTAGAAGCAATACTAAAAGATGAGTCTTGGCTGAGGGTGAAGCTTGGTGGTAGAGCACATGCTTTGCTTAGCACATTTAAGGCCCAGGGTTCAATTTCCAGACCACCCCCCCTCCCCAAAATGAAAATACCTATGAATAAAATAAAAAAAAAAACCTATGAATAAAAGGCAATATTTGGAGCAATAAACTCTTCTATCTTAAAGATTATTTTTTATAACCTCTTTATTTTGCAGATGAGAAAATGCAGGCTTTTAAAGAGAACAACAATTACCCATGCAAGATAACAGAACCTTAAAATGACAAAGTCAGTACAAGAAGTCTTAAGTCTTTGTTGTGTGTTTGTATAAAAATTGTTAGTTATGGGGCCGTAGTTGTGGCTCAGTGGTAGAGTACTTGCCTAGCATGCATGAGATATTGGGTTCGATCCCTGGCACCACATAAAAATATAAACAAATAAAATAAAGTTTTGTATCCATCTACAACTAAAAGAAATTTTAAAAATTGTGAGTGATGACCTAAAAAGTTCTTGACAGTATATTCTCATGGTATTCAAACAGTAGCCATATGAGATATACAATAGCTTCAAACTCAGCAGATAAAAATACAAGAATTCACTAAAATTTTTTAGTAAAAATTTTACTAAATAAAATTTATTTTATTTGTTCCAA